ACTTGTAATTAGCCTAGTTATTACTATTATTGCTGTTATTAAAGCCTCAAAATTCCTCAAGAAACTCAACAGTTATCACCCAGCACCCAAAATCAACCTTTCTGAGCGCTCCCAACTTTCCAGTTTCCACTTTGAAGATCCTCAAGACCCCATAGGATTATTACTAGTAAGTAATAACCCTTTTCTTGAGATTTTCCCCTTAAAATTATTCCTGGGATTTAAACCACACCTGTACACAGGCCCCAGTGTTCCAGGTACCTAAATCCTCTGCTTTTTGCATGATACCTTAGAGGGATTAAACCACCCCTGATTTATCAGGCCCCTCTGGTTTAAATTATATTCATTTTATTAATATCAATTGGCCACTTTTTGATTTAATCCATAAATTTCACGTAATTCTTCTGAATTACTTATACCAGTTTTGTCCCAGAGTTTTTACTATAAAAATTCTTAGTTTTTGCACCTTGTGTAGCTAGAAGACACTTGTCTTGGCATCACATAGGCTGACAAATAGATGATCTCATATCTTAGACTTATCATGTTACTATTTCCTAACTTGACACTTCCAGATTATTCCTAATACTCCATATGTTTTCAGAAAAGGACAGGCTTGGTGTGAAGCCCTTGCCTCTCAAAGATTCCACCAACTAAATATCAGAGCATCAATCCACCATGTCTAGTGTTTACTGAATACCTGTTGATTGTCCCCTCTCCTAGACAGGTGGAGAACTTTTGGAAGATTCATCTGTCTGCCATACTAGCATTCTATACAACACCTGGCTCCATGATTCTATGCAGGACTTGAGTGGCTGTATCAGCTTGAGTGAAGAGAAGCATTGGCCTCTTGGAGCACCTCCACTGTAGCCCTTACTTTTGGGCTGTGAAAATCATAATGATCCAGACCACACAGCCAGTTTTGCCATCTAAAACTGCTGTAAAATACACCACCAGTTGTTAAAAATTGATGACAGGTGTCGGAGCAGAGTGTTGTGCAAGGGCTGAAATTTACACAATTTTGTTGTGTGAAAGGCTTGTGTGTGGGTCACAGGCAAGTTCCTAGGAGTTCCTACATGTGAGGACCTGAGAGCATAATTTACGGACTGCTGCAAATCTTTGCAACCATGGTGGGTTGTTTCAAGTCTCAAAAGTCCACCTATCCAAGGACCTGACTTCTTACAGCCTGCGGGGGAGGTGCTCTTACACTTACAGTACTTATGTCAGACACTGAGGCTGTAGCCCATGTGTCTACAACCTGTACTTAACCAACAAACACATGTACTGTAGTGTATTGGTTAAGGACTGTGTTATGACTTTGCCTCACCAACACCCTTGGGTTCAAATCCCAATTATGTAATCTTATATTTTTATTATTTTATTTTTATACTTTTATGCTTTAAGTAATTCCACGGAATTACTTAAGTATTCACCTCTGTATTAATATTCATATTTTATATACATACAGTTTGAAATCTTAATCATCTCTCTATACACTGTAATTAGAGAGATGACATCATTCTTTCTCCTTTGAGCTTGAATGACATCATTTCCTCCACTTCTGGTTTAAAGCTTAATTTAAATACATATTTTGATCATTTATGATTATATACATAAATGATCCTCTGCAGGCCTCACCGGTCTCACAGGCAGGTTGACCCCTGCCTTTGTAATACTTAAGGGGGAGGTCTTCTTCCCAAGAACCCTCCCCCCAGAGATTATTACCATACAACCCGTGCACCTTACTAGAGATGGTCGTGTTGCATCCGGATATCCGCGCGGATGCGGATATCCGGTTGCTTTTTCCGGGGAAAGCGGCATCCGCACCCGCATCCGCATCCCCAGGCGGATATCCCCCCGCCTTAGCGGGTATCCGAGCGGATATCCTCGGATACCCGCCCTCTAAATGGCCGGCGAGGCACATCCTCGCCGGCTGGAAAGGTTGCCTTCCAGCCGGCGAGGCATGTACCTTGCCGGCTGGAAGGTTTCTCTTTCAGCTGGGGAAGGAAACTCTTCCAGTCGACGAGGTACACGTACCTCGGCAGCTGGAAGGAAACAGCTGGCGAGGGTACGTGTACCTCGTCGACTGGAAGGGTTTCCTTCCCCAGCTGGGAGGGAAACCCTCCAGCACGGCAAGGTACATTGC